GTGTGTGTGTGTTCTCAGGTCTGCAAGGTTCCAATAAGGGTAACATTTGTGAGCACAGCTTTGACATCACACACAGTTGCTGTATGACTGGAGAAGGGGGGTTTACTCTCTGCTGGTCACAGTCTCCCCACCTGCAAATTAGGTCTGATGATGAGTCTCCATCTCCCAAGCTGAAGATGGAGGGAGAGCGCTAACCTATGCCAGGTGCTTAGAGTGATGACTCTCAGAGGCACCAGTAGGCGGTTGCCTCGTTTGACCACGTGACTCGGTTACTCATAGGTGTGTGAGTGCCTGGGAGTGAATGAAGGAGCACCTCGAATGTTAAGCATGCCAAGCATGTGATGATTAGTGTCAACTTGACCCAATCTAGAATGCCCTGAGAGGGCCTTTCAGAATGTCCATGGAGGAATGTGGTGGTTTGAATGAAAATGTCCCACATAGGCTCCAAGTATTTGGACATTTTGTCCCCAGATGGTGGCGCTGTTTTGGGACGTCTTAGAAGCTGTGGCTATCCTGGAGGAAGCACATCACTTGGGGTGGACTTAGAGAGTTCTTAAGTCTTGCTGGATCTCCAGTTGCTCTCTTGCTTCCTGTGCCTGCGTGATGGTGTGAGAGCTCAGCTTCTGCTGCTCCTGGTCCAGCCACCTCCAGCCACCATGCCTCCCCGCCATGACAGACTGAAATTCCCCTGGAACCGTAAGCTCAAACTCTTCCTTCTATAAATTGCGTTGGTCAGTATTTCTGTCACAGCAATAGAAAAGTGACTAATACAGGGATTGTCCTGATTCTGGTGACTGAGATGGGAAAACACCTGCTGTGCGTGGCACCACTCCTTAGGCAGGGAATCTTGAACTGTGTAAGAGCAGAGAAAACTTAATCCTAGCACTCAGGAGGCAGAGGCAGGTGGACCTCTGAACTGGAGGTCAGCCTGGTCTACATATTGAGTTCCAGGTCAGCCAGATATACATGGTGAAACCTGGTCTCAAAAAAAGGGAGGGGGGCTGGAGAGAAGGGTCAGCAGCTAAGAGCGCTGGCTGCTCTTTCAGAGGACCCAGGTTCAAGTCCCGGCACCCACATGGTAGCTAACAACTGTCCTTAACTCCAGTTCCAGGGGAATCTGACATACTCTTCTGATCTCTGCAGGCATTGCATGACATGGGTGCACTTACATACATGCAGGCAATACACTCATACACATAGAATAAAAGCAGTAAAATACTAAAAAAGGAAAAAAAGTGGAGAAATGGAGCTCAGCAACAGCATGCATGCACCAACTGCTCTCTGCTCGTGACTGTGGGTGTGAGGGGACTAACTGCTTCAAGTTCCTTCTTGACGTCCCCACAGGGATGGACTGGAGCTCCGAACCATGAGCCAAAATAAACCCTTTCTCTTTTCAGTTGCTAGAAACGGGCTGTTTTATCACAGCATCAGACAGGATTCTAAGGCAAGGTGTTATCTGGCCTTTTAGTCACCGGAGTGCTAAAAATGTTTTCTACCAGTGACTATATCCCCTTGTAGTTAGAGGGGACCCCTCAGCGTGCCTCAGTGGAGGCCCACCCCTTCTGACCTTCCCATCTCCCTCCCCCACCTCTCCTCCTCTCTCTCTGCCACATTCCCCTGAGGGCTGCAGCTTATGCCAGAGCTAAACCTCCGCCACTGACCCTCCACTTTCAGCTTGTGAATTCTCCATAGTTGACACGGGCCAGAACCCGGGTGTAGAGCCTGGCTCAAGAGGAGAGCCCTGGGACATAGAGCTCCGTGGCTTCCAGCGCACTGGCTCTTGTACACAGCTGGCCACTGGTGCTCTCTCTCCCCGAATGCCTGGTCACTCCTCTCTGCCTATCCCCCTCATCCACACTACCTAAGTGACCATGGTGACCCTCCAACAGGCTCTTATCCCTCCACAGGCCTGTTTACAGCCCAGTGGCCCTTGGTGTAGACGGGAACGGAATCCCCGTGGATTGGCTCTGCCCACTCCACCATGTATGTCCCTTTCTTGCCACCCCACCCTGTGCCCCAGATCACTGAGCTTCACTCATCGTGGTAACTTCTTGTCCACACGTGCCCCTGTAGCACGCCTCCCTCTCTGTGCTCAGGATTCCTATGCAGGGCTCCTTCTCCCTGATGCTTTTCCCTGAGCTGGCCCCTGGTCATCGTCCAGTCACCAGCTGCAGGGCACCTGCGTAGGGAGCAGTGTAGCCATGGAGAGGCCCACCTACTGGCTCCCGTGACCTTCTGGAGCATTGCCTGCCCACTGCAGCTCTGTTTCTTGCACACGCCTCATTGTTCAGCCACTCACCTGGCACCCAACAACAGCCAACTGTCACCACTCTGAAAACACGCAGGTTCCTGCTCTGGGTCCTCCACACATCCCATCCCGCTGAACCCTACTCCCCAAGGCAGATTCCAAGCCACTGACAAGAGGAGACCAGAGCTGAGCAGCAGTGCAGGGTGCAGGCTTGGCTCTCCCTGGGACCTAAGCCTCACCTGCTTTCCTGCTGCCACTGTACGGAGTGTACATGTATGCACTTCACACGTGTACATTCATACATGTATGCACACCTGTGCATTTGTGCACGTGTGGGTATGTGCATGTGTAATCATGTGTGTGAATGTGTGTGTGTGATTATTGTGCATGTGTGTATTTCTGGGAATGTTTTTCAGTGTGCACCATGTGCTTATCTATGCACCTGTGTATGCATGTATGTTGTTATATACCTGTATGCTTGTCTGTGATGTGTACATGTGTTCCATGTGTTTGTCTATGTGTACATGTTTATATGTGAATCTTTGTATTTCTCTTTATATGTGCATATTTTCAAGTACATGTATGTTTGTGTATGTGTTGAGAGATTGTGTCTGTGCATGTGTGTATGTTTGTATATACGTTGTGTGTCATGTGTGTTTGACTGTGCATATTTGTACATGTGGTTTTTGTCTGTGTATGTTTTTCTGAGTACACATATTTGTGTGTCTGTGAATGTGCATGATTTTATGTGCATGTACCTGTCCCTTTATATGCATGTACATGTTTGCATGTGTATACATGTCAGTGCATGCATATGTATGAATGATTGTGTATTGCATGCTCATCTTTGTACACACATGTGCATTTGTGTTTGTGTGTGCATGTTTGTATGATCATGTGTGTTTGCCTATGTGTGTGCATGTTTGTATGATCATGTGTGTTTGCCTATGTGTGTGCATGTTTGTATGATCATGTGTGTTTGCCTATGTGTGTGCATGTTTGTATGATCATGTGTGTTTGCCTATGTGTGTGCATGTTTGTATGATCATGGTTGTGTGTCATGTGTGTTTGACTGTGCATATTTGTACATGTGGTTTTTGTCTGTGTATGTTTTTCTGATAGACATATTTGTGTGTCTGTGAATGTGCATGATTGTATGTGCATGTACCTGTCCCTTTATATGCGTGTACATGTTTGCATGTGTATACATGTCAGTGCATGCATATGTATGAGTGATTGTGTATTGCATGCTTATCTTTGTACACACATGTGCATTTGTGTTTGGGTGTGCATGTTTGTATGATCATGTGTGTTTGCCTATGTGTGTGCATGTTTGTATGATCATGTGTGTTTGCCTGTGTGTGTGCATGTTTGTATGATCATGTGTGTTTGACTATGTGTGTACATGTTTGTATGTGTAGGTGTATTTTATGTGCACATGTATTTGTTTTTATGAATGTGCATGTTTGTGTGCACACACGTGTCCCTGTATGCACGATTGTACATGTATCTTCACATGCATGTGTGTAATGTTTGTATGTACATGTTTTATGCATTTTTGTATCTGCATGCATGTGTTTATATGTGCATTTGTATGCTCATGTGTTTTTGTCTCTATGTGCATATGTGTACATATTTGTACATATGTGTGTATGTGTGCACATGCATGTGCATTTTTGTACGTGCACACATTTGTCTCTGTGTGTGCATATGTGTGAATGTGTGTGTGTGCATGTGTCTGTGTGTGCATTTGTGCGTGCATGTTTGTATGTGTATGTATGTTTTTTGGTGTGTGCATTTTGTATGTGTATGTGTGGGTTTTGGTGTGTGCATTTTGTATGTGCACATGTATTTTTGTCCCTGCATGTTTGCATGTACACATGTGTGAATGTATATGCATGTATGTTTGTCTCTGTATGTTTGTCTGCTACGTGTGTATTGCCTGTGTATATAAATGTGTGCGTGTCTCTGTGTGTGTCTATGCATGTTTGTGTGTGTGTGTGTGTCTGTGTGGTGTCTCACCAGGGAGCTCCTGGCCTGGTCACGGGGCTCCATGCCTGCCCAGCATGGCCAGGCTTTCGTCTTGGCAGCCAGGAGGATCACAGTGCACAGTGGGGTCTGTTTCCCTACTGGGAAATGGTTTAAGAGCAGCTTGGCAAACCTTGATGTACTTGTCCATGGGGCTCACTGGCCGGATGCCGAAGTGGCTGGGCAGCTCAATCTTAGGCTTTGGGGTGTGCACTGCTTCACTCTTGAGCAACTGAAACAGAACCCAGAGATGAGACCTTCAGGCGAGGCCCGAGGACATGGTTCCTTCATTCTCTCCAGAAGGCCACACGTGACAGATGGCACTAGTGGGGTCCGAGAACAAGAGGTGAGCAGCAGACCCAGGACCTGGGCTGCCGACCATCCCAAGTTCTTACTGACACCCTCCTATGGCCTTTGCAGCCCAGTAGTTATCCCGCCCCCCAGCAGGATTGCCCCAGTCATGGACTCAAATTAAAAGAGGTCCCAGTGTTCCAATGTTCAAACCATAAAGGAGAGCCCCACACCCCGTGAATTTTAAAGCCATTTTGAACTCTCTGAAAACCCAATTTAATGACATCTACGGAATATTAACACCGACTCATTTATGCACATTATGTTATTAAGGCCTTACTTTATGCATCAAATTGTATAACTCTCTGAGAATTTAAAAACCTCATCACGAATGGCATAATTTCAAAGCTGTGTGGTAGGTGGGTTGGATGGGGCTTCGGCTGCCGAGTTGGAGGGTTCTGAACTGTGAAGCTCTGTGCACCGTGTTCCTCCAGAGGATGGGGCCTGCTCAGGTTTGAGCCAGAGGTAGTTTAGGAGGTCTTGAACATAGGTATTCTGAGTGTCTATGGAGTGTTTTCATGTCAGACCCTGCATTCTAGACACCCTCCCTGGGAACACTGGGACTCCTGGACTGTCAGGACACAGCCTGCTGTGCTGACAGTGGCTGTCTCTGTGGTCGGGGTCTGCCCCATTCCCCAAAAGTGACATTTAGCCGAACATTGAGGAGAGGGGACATTATCCTAGTCATCTCTCACAGGTCGCTTGGCCTCTAGGCCAGAGGAGGGGTCCAGACACCTTCATTCGACCCACAGTCAGAGTCACAGACAGGACGTGTGACAGGTGGCTGTGGAGTGAGACTAGCTGGCTTCTCACCTCCTTGCCAGCCCTGTGGCTGCCCTCCTTTGAACTCAGTGGTCTTTTTATTCATATGGGTGCACCCAGCTGCTGTATAGACCACGGAACATCTTTTGGGGGGGGTGCCTGGCACCTCAAGAGCTAGGGCCAGTCATGGTGGCACACGCCTTTAATCCCAGCACTCAGGAGGCAGAGGCAGGAGGATCTCTGTGAGTTCAAGGCCAGCCTGGTCTACACAGTGAGTTCCAGGACAGCTGGGGCTATAGGGAGACCCTGTCTCAAAAAGACCAAAAAGAAAAAAAAAAATAATTAAGGGGGCTGGAGAGATGGGTCAGTGGTTAAGAACACTCACTGTTCTTGCAGAGGACCCAGGTTCTATTCCCAGCACCCACATGGTGGCTAACAACCACCTGTAACGACAGTTCCAGGAGATCCGATGCCCTCTCTGACTGCCACGGGCATTGCATGACAGGGGTACACCTACATACATGCAGACAATACACTCATGCACATACAGTTAAAATATAAAAATTAGTTAATTAGTTGATGTGTGTGTGGTGTATGTATGCACGTGTGTACGCCTGTGCCCACACATACAGAGGCCAGAGGAGAGTCAGGCACCCTGCTCTGCTGTGTGGACCTGTGAGGCATCTCCTCAGTCCCTCTCTTTCAATGCCTTTTTCCTGATTATCAATCCCAGCCATTTAATTCCCGAAATGGTTGGTTCAACCTGGGAGGGAGCGGGGACTCCTGACGAAGTCTCCAGTTACCTCTTGGAGGGAAGTTGTTAAAAATCCCCATTTCTTGGGCCAGTTTTGCTGGGCTTCAGATTCGGCCTTCAGACGGTATCTCCTGAAAAAGAGAAATCTCAAGTGTGAGGGGTGTTCAAAGAAAGTCTCCCACCACATGGGGAAGACCCTGGTCGAAGCAGGAGGAAAATGGTGGAGAGAGATGGTGGAGGAGGGGTGATGATGTAGGGATGAGGGAGGACTGCAACTGGCTGCCAGAGGGGTGTCCGAGTACTAGACCCCTTATTCCTGAGGCCCCTGTTTATTCTCAAAGACTAGCACAAGACTGAGAGACACTTGGGTGTGACACTTAAGGAGGCTGGGTTCCTGCAAGTGTAGACCCAACACTTGCACAAGCTTGACATCTAGAGCCTCCTTAAATGTCACATCCAGGTTCCCCACCCACCCCAATCTGGCTGTGCTTTTATACCATGTTAAACATAATCTCTAGACAGCGACCTATGAGCTGAGCTGAGTGAGGTGATGTGCTAAGTTCTGTAAACATGGAATTAAATACATGGCCACCTTCCATTTCGAAATCAGGACCCCTCCCTCATCCCTGCTGGTTTGGAGGTCCAGGCCAAGCTCTTTTCCCTGGGTCCTGAGCTTAAAAGGTGGAGTCTGTTTCTCTTCTCATGTGTGTTTGTGTGTGCAGGTTCACATGTGGAGGCCAGAGGTCAGCCTTGGGTGTCGTTCCTCAGGAGCTGTCTACCTCCACCTTGTTTTCTGAGACAGGGTCTCTCAGTGGGACCTGGGGCTCACTGATTAGGTTACCTTGGCTGGCTAGAAAGTTTCAAAGACCTACCAAACTTACCCTTTCCAACACTGAGATTATAAGTGTGTACCAACATGCCCAACTTAAATTTTTCTTTTTTAATTTTATGTGATTGCCTGCATGTATGTAAATGCTCCCATGTTGTGCAAAGGGTGTCAGATCCCCTGGAACTGGAGCTATGGACAGTTGTTAGCTGCCATGTGATGCTGGGAATAGAACCCGGGTCCTCTGCAGGAGCAGCCAGTGCTCTTACCTGCTGAGCTACTTCTCCAGCCTCTAGCCATATAGTGCTTCAATAAGCCCTGGGTCTTCTTTTTATAAAACAGCATTAGAAACTGACATCTGAGCCAGGCCTGGTGATATAGGTCTGTTCTAACAAGTTACTCGAGGTTGAGGCAGGGGAATTGTGAGTTCAAGGTCTGTGTGGGCTATATGGGGAGTTCAAGGCCAGACTGGACAACTTAGTGAGACCTTGTCACAAATTAAACTTAAAAAGTGTTGCATGACATTATTCCTGGGGAGACTGAAACAAATGTCTGTGCTGTCCAATTAAAAGTATCCATTACCAACGCCTCCTGGACAGAGGTATTTTTTAAATGGGTTTAAAAATATTTATTATTTTGAAATTTTTATGTGTATGAATGTTATGCCTGAATATATGTCAGTGCACCCATGTCATACAGTGCCTGCAGAGGCCAGAAGAGAGTGTCAGATCCACTGGAAGTAGAGCTACATACAGTTAGCTGACATGTGGCTGCTGGGATTTGAACCTGGGTCTTTTGCAAGAGCAGCCAGTACTCCTAACCACTGAGCCATTTCTCCAGCCCTGGACTTTTTTTTTTTTTTTTTTTTTTTTTTTTTTTTTTTTAAAAAACTCACTATGTAGACCAGTCTGGAGCTCACAGAGATCCACCTGCCTCTGCCTCCCCATTAAAGTTATGAGCCACTACACCTGACCCTTGACCTAACTTTGAAAATTAAAATTTCTTCTTGCTTAAAAATCAAGGGAAAACAAAAAAGGACTATGAGTCTCTCCCTCAAGGTGGACAAATAGTAACATTGTTTTCTTTCTTCTTTTTAAGTTCCCTAACTCTGAGGTCTGTGGGTTGTTGGATGTCCCAGCCTCCCGGATGGGCAGGAGAAAAGGCACAGAAAGCCTGTGAGGACCATCCTCAGAGCCCTCCCTTCCCGCCTGGAGGTAGACCATCTTCTGGACTCGGTGGGGAAGCGGCGGCTTCCAGGTGTGCACGTGGCAGGTGAGAAGGGCCCAGCCCACTGGGCATTACCAGATCTCGTCCTGGGCCACAAGGTTCATGCGTTCTGCCGCCATAGTGCTGAGCGGTTTCTGCGCCATGGTCTCGGGTAGGTCTTGGTAGACCAGCGCACATCAGTCCTGGGCTCCGCGTCTGGGTAGCCTGGAGACCAGTTGCCAGGTAACGCAGGACGCAGAGGGGAGGTGGAGGCTGGGGAATGGCCCTGCAGCCAGCCTCTGCTCCATCTGAGCTCCTGATGGCGACCCTGTGCACCTCCCAGAGGCCTCTAGATCTGACACTGATGGCCCCGCCTTTTTTTGGGGGGGGTCTTTTTTGGTACTGGGGATTGAACCCAGGGCTTGGCCCGTGGTAGGCAAGCATTCCATCATTGACCTACACTCCCAGGTTTCTGGTTTTACTTTTTATTTTGAGACAGATTCTCCCTAAGTTGTCTGGGCAGGCCTTGGACTTGGGATCCTCCTGTTCAGCTTCCTGAGCAGTCTAGATAACCTGACTTGCACCAGGAGGCAGGGTCTCCAACCCTTTGTAATCTTAAACCTGCGATGGAGGTGAACATATCTACCTGGCTGCAGAATCCCCAGGGCACTGAGCTTGGTGAAGTCTGTTAGAGCAAGCACCCTCCTGCCCAGTCCCTGGGTATCCCCAAAATGGCCTTTCCAGTCACCTTCAATGCCTCTGCCCTTGCCTTCTCTCTCTGCAGATCTTGACTTGGCTGTCACTGTGCCTTGCAGGTCCATCACTGTCTCCCTGTGAGGAACAGGTGAAAAGGGTTCTGTCCTGGGTGCCCTGACACTGCCATGGTGCAGGTAGGATCCTGAACTCCAGGTACAAAGGTTTAAGGTCATTGTGGGGAGCCTCGGATGCGGCTTGGGGCAACACTGGGGCTTGCCTTGTGCTAATGTTACTGTTGAGACACTGTGTCAGGGTGGGCTGTGGCAGTCCACGTGGACAGCTTCCTTCTCTCCTGAGGAGCCTGAGTGACATGTGCCTGGAGCTGCTTCTCTGGGCCCTGCTCTGGGAGCCACCGTGGCACCACATTCCCTGGGCCCTGGCCAGGCCTCCCTCCATTCTCCAATGTGGTCACATCAGTCCTACAAAGGACTCACTCCAGACACTTGGCTGAAGAAAAACCTGGGTTTCTATGCAGAACCCTGGCCCTGTGGGCCTCTACCTTCTCTGGGTTAAAGGTCTGAAGGAGGAGGGGCTCAGTATTCCTGGGTCTTCTTGCCTTTACATTAGCTTTTCACCACTGAAACCAAAATGCCCGGTCTAAACAACTTAGAGGAGGAAAGTGGTTAGCTACTCTTCTCATTACTGTGACAAATGTCTGGCAAAAGTGTAGTATGGAAGGTTTTATTTGGGGACATTTCAGAGTCAAACCATGAAGGGATTTATTTTGGCTCATGGTTCAGAGGATTCAATTCATGGTTGTTTCCTGTGTCTTTCTGTGCCTGTGGTAAGACTGAACATCATGACAGTGGGTCTGTGGCAGAAGCTGTTCACATCATGGCTGACAGGAAGCAGAGAGGCAGGGATCCAGGAAAGGGCTAGAGCAAAATATAGCTTCCAGTTATGCCCCCTGCCCCCAGTGATCTTCCTCCAGCTATAATGTAGTCATATTGGGAATGCATCCTCATGTGCTGATTGGGATCTTGTAGCTTCTGGAAATGCCCCCACAGACACCCCCAGAGACACACCACCTCACTGCTCCCCTGGGTGGTTCTCGGTCCAGTCAACTTGACAATTCAAATTGACTGTTGGCCAGTGTGGTCAGGAATCTGTGAAGGCACAGAATTGAGGAGGAGGCTCAGCTCAGCTTCTCCCAGGGGGCAACTATAAAAGGCAGAGTGTCTCTCAAAGAGACTTTAGGACATGCTATGTGTCATGTTGCTGCCCCAGGCAGCCAAAGCTCACAGCATCATGGGAGACCCTGTGATGCTGACTTCCCACAACCATCTAGGGACTTGTTTGGTGGATAGAACTCCCTGTGGGGTGGGGGTGCCTCTTATCAACCCTTCCTCAGGAGCCACAGGAAGCCCCTCTTCCTAGAACTTCAGTCTCTCTGTGTCCAGGTTAGCTTTAACGGTCACCTCTATGCAACCTAAGAGTCATCAGAGAGGAGACCCTCACCTAAGGAATTTCCCAGGTCAGACTGGCTGTGGGCATGTCTGTGGGGATTGTCTTGACTGCTGATTGATGTAGGAGGGCCCAGCCTATTGTGGGTGGTACCATCCCCAGGCAGGTGGGCCTGGGCTGTATCAGAAAGCAGGCTGAGCACACACCTCAGCGCCAGCTAGCAGGAGGTGTCCTCCGAGGTTCCTGCTGTGCTGCTTCTGCTGGGAAGTGAATTTCTTGGTTGGACGCAGTACTGCTTGGAATAGTAAGCAAGGCTCGCCTTCAGGCTCCTGCCATCCCAGGGTCTCCGTGATGCTGTGAGTTCCTACCTTGACTCCCCTCAATGACAGACCATGGCTTAGACTTGTAGGTGGAAACAAACCCTTTCCTCTCATGCTGCTTCCTTTTAAAATATGTATTTTACTTATGATTTTTATTTTACGTGTCTGAGTGTATTGCTTGCATGTGTGGAAGTGCACCCGTGCTGTGCAATGCCTGCAGAGGACAGAAGAGTGTGTCGGATTCCCCTGGAACTGGAGTTATGGATGGTTGTTAGCCTCCGTGTGTGTGGGACTCGAATGTGGGTCCTCTGCAAGAGCAGCCAGTGCTCTTAACTACTGAGACATCTGTCCAGCCCTCTTATGCAGCTTTCTGTCAGAGCATTCATCACAGCAGCAGAAATGAAACTAGAACCTGGTCCCAGCCAGCAGGGAGGCCAGACCGAGCCAGCCAAAACGCAGGATGCCCAGTGCACTTGCTGTTCTGGGCACACATCTCCTGTGCTTATTTCCCCTAAGAAATCACTTGTTTCCTGTAGATCGGGTTTCACCGGGTACCTTGTGTCTTACCTGCCCAAGCGATGTCTCTGGAACGCCCCTTTCCTAGGCGTGCCTGGCGCGGTCCCCGTGTTACCGTTTTGGGTTGTGCTTGTAGCTGATGTCTGTTATTTCTGTTTTGTTGTTGCAATTAGTTCCTCCTTTTTCCTGGTTCTAAGCACTGAAGTCTGTTCCTTCTGATATTTGAAATAAGAAATTTCTGAGCCTCTGGCAGACTGTTTCTTTACCTAATACTTCTTTTTCTTGGCAAAATTGTTCTGCATAGATTTCAAACGGGGAGAGAGGAGACGCCACCACCCTTGCAGGAGGCTCGCCATGTTCCTGTGTATTAGTAATTTTGGCTTCTATCAGTTCTCTGGGACAGTTTTTTATTTTTATTACTTTTTCATTTTGCTGTTGCTTTATAAAACATTCTGACAGTTGGAGTCAGCTGCTTCTTTTTTAGTTTTTAAACTTAAACAGTTTTCTTTTTATTGGACTGTTATTTTTTTCTTTCTTTAACCAAGGAGCGCTTTGTGTGGGGAGCGGGCTCTGTCTGCCAGCATGCCTTTTATCACAACATGGGTGATTATTACCTCTCCTGCACAACAAAGACATGCGGGGCTTGTGTTGAAAGTGACAATATGCAGTGTGCATGTGATGGCTTCAGCCAGGGGCTGTGGCTGGAGGAGGGGGGAACTTGTCTCCCCCACATCCTGTGCTCCTCTTCCACTGCAGAAGGGCTGCTGACTGGATTCAGACCATCCCTCCCCTGACCTGCAGTGACAGTTGGACGGGTTCTGGGGCCTTACAGCGGAAGGAAAGGGTCACATCCCTATGGAAGCCCCCTCATAGCTCCTACCCCAGTTGGCATATTACCCACCACTATGTCCATTAGCCCCCCGCCCCCCAGCAGGCTGAGGGCACCTAGCCACTCCTTCCCTCTCAGCCTCCTTTGTTCAGCTCCCCAGATGTGAGGACAGACACCTGGAGGAGGAAAGTGAATTGAGTGCCAGGGAAGGGCTGGGCTCGGACTCCAAAGTGTTAGCACACCATTGTGGCCATCTAGTGTACTAAGTACCCAAAGAAAGTTCGGGGAAAGGCCAGCTGCCCAGGCTTCCTGATGCACAGCCAGTCCACCTTCCAGGATGCCCGCCCCCCACCGCCCCGCCGGAGTTTCGGATAAGAAATGCATGTGCTCTGCAGGGCTCAGTCCCCAGTACTGGGCAGTTAGTTACACGTCTCGTTGCTACAATGAATCGATGGACAAAAGCAACTTTAGGAAGGGTTTATTTTGGGTATGAGGGTGCAGTTCTTCACGGTGGGGGACGTTGTGGCAACAGGAGTGTGAGGCAGCTGATGGTGCTGTGTCCACACCAGGGAGAGGTGAGAGCCAACACGCCACTCACTTCCTCCTTTTTCTTCTTTTTATATATTTATCTGTGTGGTGTGTGTGTAGGGGGGATCAGAGGACAACCTGCAGGAGTTGGTCTCTCCTTCCACCATGTGGGTCCAGGGGATCGAACTTGGGCTGTCAGGCTTGGCAGCAAGTGCCTTTACCTGCTGAGTCATCTGGCTGACCATTCTTTCATTCATTCTGGAACTTCAGCCCAAGGAATGATGCTGCCCATATTTAGGGTGGATCTCGCCATCTCAATCAACCCAATCTAGAAACTTCCTCACAGACCTGCCCAGAGGTTTGTCTCCTAGGTGGCTCTGGAACCTGTCACAGTGACAATCAATGACCATTGCAGAAGGGCGAGGAAGGATGGGGGGTCTTCACTGCAAAGCTAGTCTCTCCACAGGGCTGGTAGTAGGGACACTGGCAGTCCAGGGAGGGGATGCCCACAGGGGTCAGGCAGAAGGTTTGAAGGGAAATGGGATCTTTGGGTGGCAGGGGAGGAGGAGATGGCATCTCTATTCTACCCCACAAAATGACGTTCTCTGTCATGTATTGAGTGACGCCTGGCCAATCACCTCTCCCCTCAGTCAGAGGCTTCAAGCAGAGGCTCCAACACGGCCATTCTCCATCCTTTTCTCAACAAATGTTACTAAGTCCCTTACATGTGCCAGGCTCCTGGCTCCTCATAGTGCCCAGAAAGACCTCTAATCTTCTAGAAACTTCCAGTCCGGTAAATAAGCACATCAGAAGAGTTTTATACAGACCATTGTTTCAAAAATAAGAATGGTGATGTGGGGTCCAGAAGTTCCCTTAACGGTTGGTCAGAGAGGCTAGTCCCAGAAATAGCAAAGGGGAACATCCCTGGGGCTGGGCTTGGTGGGTATGTTAGTTCATTTCCATTGCTATAACAAAATGCCTGAGGCTGGTCAGTTAAAAAGTTCCTTTGACTCATGGCTGTGGAAGTTCAAGAGCATAATGCTGGCTTCTGCTCAGCTTTCATGAGGTCATCAAGGAGGATGACCTCTCAATGGCAAGATACAGAAGAGGTCACGTGATGAGCCTGGAAGCCAGGGAGGGAAAGGGCCAGTCTTTTTTTATAACCACTGTCTCCAGAGAGGAGACAGGCTTGTTCTACAAGTACTACATTAATCCCTTCCAAGGGGGATACCCACTGATGGCCCAGCCAACTTCTGTTAGACCCTGCGTGAGTTATTTTTCCTGTCACTGTGATAAAATACCTTGACAAAAGCAACTTAAGGAGGGGAAGGATTTATCCTGGCTCACAGTTCGAGGGATTGTTCCATCACGGTAGGAAAGAATGGTAGCAGGCGGGGACAAGTAGGAGCAGGAAGATGGCTGGTCACGTTGTATCTTTAGGAAGCAGAAAAAGAGCAGGACATGGGACTGGGCTTTAAACGTCAAGGTCTCACCACGACCCACTTCCTCCAGTGATGCTCCACTTCCTAAGCGTTCTGCAACCTTCCCAAACAGCACCTCCAGCTGGGGACCTCACGGTCAAACATGAGCCTGTGGCCCCTTTCACATCAAACCACGGCACCCACACTGTGAGGAAGAAACCGCTGTGTGGCCATAAACTCGGGATGGAAAGGGAGGCTCCTTAAGGCCGGAAGGAGACAGCTCACAAGTCTCAGGAGTCCTGGAACTAAGGAGATTGTCAAGGTTATACAGGCAGTAAGGAATGCTGGGCAGGAGGAGGCTTTCCACCTGCCCAGCTGCCTACAAGTCTGAGAGAGGCTCCAGGACTGCAGGTTTTTGAGATGTTGCTCTTGGGGGGTTTTCTGGAGACACAGCTGCCTTGCAGTTATTTATGATCTTGGAGTTAGTCTATGGTTCATACCACTGTGAATGCGCACAGCCTTGCCATGATCCTGTAGCTAGTCTCTCAACCACACTCCTATAAATAATGCCCACCGTGCTCCTGAGTGACTCTCCACCATGCCTCTGTGAGTGACCCTCCACCATGCCCCTGTGAGTGACCATCACTATACTTCTGTGAGTGATGACCCCTCACCATGCTCCGTGAACGACCCCTCACCATGCTCCTTGAATGACCCCTCACCATGCCCCTGAGAGTAGTCCTGACAAACTCGTTGGTTTGTCAAGCTGGAGTTTGGTAGACTCGCTCTGTAGCCTGCTGCCGGCGTCCTGTCTGGAGTGAGTAGTCGTCCCAGGAAAACTTACACAACACAAGCTTAAACACTTAGGGAAAGCTGAAGCTATGTGTGAAGAATGGAGAGGGGGCGGGAGAGCAGGGGGCAGGGAGGAGGCGAGGAATGACCTGAGGAGTGTTTGGTGTCTGCAGCCTCCTGAGCCTGGCTCTTCCCCTTAATTTCCAGGAACGTGACCTGGTCAGTGCACTTGGGTTTTGACCACCAGCGCCTCAATTTCTGACTGCAACCTCACCTCATTCCCTCCCTTGGGAAGGCCCTGCCGATAACTGAGCATCTTAAGATCATCCTGCCCACTGTCAACTGCCTCCTTTCACCTGGTTCTGAACCCATGGTCCCAGCTGCGTATCCCCAGCCCATCCCACCTGCAGACTTTACGTATTCCTGCTTTATGTCAGGCTTGGTTAGATCCTGAGGGTGCCTCATGGTGAGGCACCTTCCTCAGATCACTGTGACCTGGCTGGGAGAAATGGCAGCTGCTGGAGCGACAAGAAAGCTGGCCGGCAGCGTCATAGACACCGTGATCAGACTTTGAGGACATCCTCATGGCCACCTCTCTCCAGCGAGCATCTGGTACCAGCTGGTGGATCTTTTAGCAGCTTTGATTCCCACACTGTGGTGGGAGTAGGGCTTCCTACTCCCGTGCCCCTTTCCCACAATGCTCTTCACTAGGGAGTTTGAAGAGTCAAGTGTACTCAAAATGGAAGCCGTAGAGTCCTGGACAGGATGGCTCTTGGTTAGCCTTCAGTCAGTCCTTGACAGACAGATTAAGTTGGCAGTAATGGAGAACAGGGGGCGCTGGTGTTAGGCTGCTGCTCTTGCAGTATGATCAGCTCATGCTGGGTGTCCTGAGTGTGCTGAAAGTGACGACTGAGGGCTGAGGCTGTAGCTCGGTTGGTAGAGCGCTTGCCCAGCCCTCAAAAAACCCCGGTCTCATCCCCAGCACTGTGTAAACTGGGGTGTGGTACTGCAGGCCTGTAATCCCAGCACTCTGGAGATGGGCAGGAGGATCAGAAGTTGAAGGTCATTTTGGGCTATCTAGCGAGTTTAAGACCAGCCTGAGCTACATGAGACCCTGTCTCAACAACAAAACCAAAAACAGAAATAAAAGCAAAAGCCCAGAAATCTGGCCAAGTTGGGTACAAAGCAAGGGTCGGTCGACTGTGTGCCTCTGTCCTCTGCCTCCTTTAGAGGATCCTGCTCCCAGGTGTGAGCGACTCAGACCAAGGAAGACCTGGAAGGGTCCCCACAGATCCCTACCCCTGTCACTCTCCAGCACATCAGGAGTACCAACGCCCAACTCTGAATTCCTGGGCTCCTGTGGGCTCAAGTCAAACTCTTAGTGTTATTTCAAAGTCATTTTCTTCAGGGGTGGGTGTGTTTTATACAGAGAATGTTTCAAATAAAAAGAGAGAGCATTTCCCCTTCTTTTTCTTGTGAAAGGCAGGGGGTCTTAAGACATTTTAATGGCTTTCATAGACCTTGCTCCAAATATATTATTTCAGCACAATAGTCTCTTTGCGGGAGAATTGCTTAAATGATTCAAAATGGATTTAAAAATATATTTCAAGTTTTAATTTTATGCACAGAACATTAATGAGAAGAGTCCCTTAGAGACTCCCTGCCAGGTTAACGTGTTTGCAGTGTTCTCGGCACAGATGTTATTCCATCTCAATCCTTTCAGAGGGAAGAAACCTGTCCGTTTTTTTTTTTTCCCTTGGGGGATGCCATAAAATATATTATTTTGAAATTGTATTTTGATCCCTATGCTGTCCGTTTTTTTTTTTCCCTTGGGGGATGCCATAAAATATATTATTTTGAAATTGTATTTTGATCCCTATGCAGAGTATCATTGTTGAGGGCCTGGACGTGTCAAGTCACTCAAATGCTAAACTTTCAAAAAGTCACAAGAGGAAAAAGTAACCCCAGTCCTTTGTTGGTTCTGTGCCTCTGCGTTGTGCCCCTGCCCCACCTTGAGCTGAAGCCAACAGGACACAAAACTGAAAACTTACTTCAGCTCAAGCAGTGACAGAGGGCTGGACACAAACTCCAACGTCGGTGCAAAGACATTTGGAAAGGATGACTCTTCTGTTCACTTTTCATCTGCTGGGGATGCTGCTTCCCCTGTCAGTGCTCTAGAGACCTCTTTGCTTTTCCAGGGGTGCTTAGACTCAGTCCCTCTGGTGTATGGATTCCCACTAGCACTGGGTTCATTGGTTCATCCATATCTGATTCCACGGATGCATACGGTAGCAGCTGGTGGTCTGACCCCTGTTCTAGCAGCAATCTTGGTTTGGGTGGGCAATGAGCTCCAGGTGCCCCAGGTACGTAAACAGTGGTTCACTGTCTGGGTTTTCAAGTCTGTCTGTAAAGATGAGGGGCGTGAGGCAGGGCCAGAGTTGTACTTTCAGGCACAGCAGAATGTCTGGCAAACCGCAGCAAACCCACTGACCTTGACCTCCTCTTAGGTGTTCTGGGCATCTTCTCTCTGCCCTTCCCAGTGGCTGTTTCCATCCATGAGCCACAGTTGGTTTCTCTGCAAACCGGAACCGGGTTCTTGCTTACTTGGTGTTATGCCCTTAATGGCCTAGCAAGGGCTGCTGGGCTCCCAGCCAGGAAAATGGTGGAGACCTGCTCACTGCACAATGCCCTTACCTCTCTCCCATCCTCTGTGCAGACCTCCAAGGCACCTTGGTGGGAGGGGCTGGGCGCAGGGAAGGAGGGCTTGGGTCTTTCTCCCTCCTGCCTCCAGGTTCAGCAAGAAACCAAGAGGTCCAGCTTTTCAGATGTCCCCTCAGCTACTTCCTGTTTAGGTCAGCGCACCTCAGCTCCAAATGTGCCAAAAGGAAACACCAAAGGACTTTCTCCTCACTTCTAAAAAGTCTTTTAAGAGAAGTTTTAGGCTCACAGCAAAATGGAGCAGAAGACAGAATTCCTATAACCCCCTGCTGCTCTGCACATAGCTCTCCATCACCAGCGTCTTCCACGTGTTACTTTGATGTACTTACATCAGTAGACACCATCACTGGTATCCCAAGGTCTGTGGTGGGACCCAGTCTTTGTATCATGCTTCCTGTGGATTTGACAAATGTAGACTGTCATGTAACCACCATTACGATGTTCTATAAAGGGAATGACTAGAAACTCCCAGCATAGATGGGAAATGGAGGTGAACAGAGCTTTGCCAACTGTAGATGAGATGACCATGAAGATTTCACTTGGACACATGAGCGTTAAATTGCAAAAATAAGAACCAGATGGGCATGGTGCATGCCCACAATCCCAGAACTTGGGAGGCTAAGGCAGGAAGACTGTGAGTGTGAAGCTAGCTTGAGCTCCATAGCCAAACCTTGTCTGAAAAAAGCAAAACAACAACAACAATAGTAAGTTTAAAAAATTTAAAACATAAAGGGCTGGAAAGCAGCCAGAAAAAGCCCCACCTACTTGGTGTATGAAAAATAAGGATAAGAATGTTGCCTGGCCCCACTCTTGGAAACAAGGCAGGCTAACACGTAACGAAGGACATCTTGATAATATGGACAGCACCTCTGAGATCCATGGACCCAAGGACTGACCCAGATAATTATTTCTGCATCCATCCTTACTGCTCCAGGCTTTGCCCTGGATGCAAACTCCTGCACTCATGATACATGTGTATGCTAGACCAGCAGGCTCCCCCCAGGGTCTGCAACATCAGAACTTCTCAGGACGGGCAATAATGGCTTTGTAACAGACCTTGGGTCTAGATGCTAACCTGTGGGGCATCAGTGCTTATATGTAACCCACAGCAAAAATGGCTGAAGCAAGAGACTAGAAGTTGGGGAACAAGGACATGGACATCAGCCATCACGTGCCAGGCTCCAAACAAGGCACTTGACGGATTGTTTTATTCCATCCCAAAGGTGACCCTTGAGGTCAGCAGTACTGCCCCCCGACTTACTGAGGTGGAAGCTGTGTTGAAGAGCATGTGAGTTATAGGCCAGGATCCAGATCTGGTAAGGGTCGAAGCTGGTTTGAACCCAGTGTGTGTGGCACTCAGCTTGAGGCCATAGCCCCACAGTGCCCTGGAGATGTTGTGTATAAAGTCATCGTCACACTGGTGGCACACTCAGACTTCACACATACATGGTTAACTGTTGTGTTGAGCCTGTATACATGCATATGTGCTCACATACACACAGTTGAGGACATGTGCATGCAGACCACACAGGAACTTGTTCCCCAGGAAAATGATCCAGCTTTGCTTCTGGTCCTGTAGACAGGAAGACTGGTCACTCCTACCGGAAACAGGAAACGGTGCTCCGCCCACAGGCTCCTCCCTCTTCCTCCCTGCATGTTGTGGTTAGTTCATTGCTGCCAAGGACTTTCTTTGCTCATTTCCCTCAGTGCCACCCCCTTGTATGGACCTCGCCCACCCCTGATGGCCTGCCCACCTCTGCTCTCAGTCCACGTGCTTTCCTGGTCTTCTCCTCTGTCGCCAGCAGAGGAGTGGAATTTATTATCTCAAACCTGGAGCCAGCCACACTGGAGGCTGGCCTAGTGTTTCACAGAGCCTGGTCTGAGGTGTGGCCCCCTTTCCTTTTTACTATGTACCCCCAAGGGTGGAGCCTTCACAGCATTCTTGTGAACAGGACAAATGCTCACCCTCAAACTCCAAGACCTCCTTTTTCCTAATCTCTGTTAGCCAGAGTGAGAAGATGTGGAGTTACATGCTAAGCCCTGTGTTGTTGGCTTCATCTTACGTTCATTCAAAAACAGTACTGTGGGGGACCCGGGTTCAATTCCCAGCACCCACATGGCAGATAACAACCGTCCATAATTACAGTTCCAGGGGATCTGACACTCTCTTCTGTCATTCTGTGGGCACTGCACAACACGGGTGCACCTACATACATGCAAGCAGTACACTCATACACATAAAATAAATCAGAAAATTAAAAAGAATACTGAGGTCTGCTCTACACTGGGTCCTGTTTGGTAGGAACCCCTTTTGTTGCTTGATTCTCAGTGCTTGGCATGTTCTAGGTGCTCAATTTGTGTTGGGTGGATAGGTGGGTGCATGTGTGGGCTAGTTAATGGGTGGCTACATGTCTAGATCCATGGTTGAGTGGGTGGGTGGATAGACAGATAGACAGATAATAGATATTTGGATGAATAGAGGCACACATGGATGGATGGACTGATGGGTGCCTGAATGTTTGGGTGGGATGGATGCGTGGGTGGATGGATGGTGGATGGGTAAATGATGGATGGATGGATACACTGATTAATGGATGCATGGATGGATGGATACATGGATGCACTGATGAATGAATATATGAATGGATAACTGGATGAATGAATGGATGGACTGATGGGTGGCTGTATTTTGGATGCATGCATGCAGTGCTGTGGGGAAAAACAGAAGGATCGCTGGGGCTTGATGGCTGTCATTCTACCTCCAGGTTTAGTGAGAGACCCTGTCTCAAGGGAATAAGGTGGTGCGTGACCAGAGCAGGACACTGACGTGCTCCTCTGGCCTGCACACTCACACATACACTATGCACACGGAGTGGGAGGTACACGAATTTCACACACACACACCACACACACTTTAAATAAAAATTAATAAATAAAAAGAACCAGGACTTTGGAACATTATCATCGCCCTCTGCAGTTCTCGGGAGACTGAGTTCTAGAGCACACCATTAAGGCAAGAGATGCTTCTCAAAACCTGTTTGAAATCCAGCCCCTTCTCCATCCCAGTCAACTGAGAGTTCCAAAATTCCTTTCATTCACAGCCCAAGTCCAGCCTCACCCCATACTGAACTTAAATGTTTCCTGGTGGGCATCACTGAGTGGTCCCAAGATTGTTCAGAAGAGGCACATTCCATTAGGTCCCTGCTGGACCACACTAAGCCGCACCTCCTATGCTGTGGTTATGTGGACTGTCTGGTCTGTCTGTGGGTCACTGGTATGCTGCCTTCTGCAATGA